TTCGTTTTGATCATAAATTTCATTGTCATCTTCAACAAAGTATTGTGAAATGCTTGAATTTGCTTTGTTTTTCAAAAAATATAGTCAACGTTATAACATGATATAAAACTCAAAAAAGTTGATTTTACATGATATTGCCCCTTTAAAACACAAGCATGTACTAAATTCATGACTGTGAATCAAAGTTGATTTGAGTAGATCATTATGTTGGGACTATCAGGTACTTACTGGGATCACTGAGGGAAACCAGAATATAAGCTGAGGGCTCGTCAAGTGTTTCAACTTTTCTGTCAATTACTGACGACGTGGCCGTCTTCACTGCTTCGATCTCTTCACCCACACTTCTCTTCATGTCAACCACAAAACAAAGGGCTTTACTGGACCCACTGAACATTCCCATCATCCTGAGGGATAAGAAACAAACTTACCAGCTTTTTTTTTAAATTTATCAGGTGGTAATTTGAACTGAAAACAACATAATAAAATTCTTACTGAAGGAATTGTCTGTCCCCAGCAGCCCCTCGAACGTCTTCCAGCAGCTCGCTGGTTGCAGCTATCGCCATGTTTGCTGCTTGACTGTGGAGATGTCCGTGTTCAGAGGTGAACTTGTCTTTGTTGATCCCACCTGTAGGCTCGGTGTTACGTGTTGAATCAAGTAAACCACCATGGCTGCATTTTCCTGTTTATCATGAGAAAAAGTACACATTTGAACAAAGCCTTAAAACTGCCTCCCTTAGGGCAGTGTTTAAACAACTCCTTTTATGATGAGTTTCAATCACATTTAAAGTTGTAGCTTGTAACAGGATTTTAAATTCAAAAGTAAAGGAGTAAAAGTATCTTGTTTATGTTTTGAATGTAACAAAATACAGGTAAAAGTTACAATTGTATAAATAGTTGTTAAAATTACAGATTCTCAAAATAATAAATACTGCACCAAAGTAGTAATGTACTTCGTTACTATACACTTCTGCTGTTAGGAACATGGTTGTGAAATCAACCTTTTAGTCTGCAGCAAAGAAGACTAAAGACACAAACAATAATAAAAAAACAGGCACCACGCCGGCCTCTGCCTCTTCTTCTTTCCCTTTTTTAATTGCTCTATAGAACAACATGCACCAACGGTACATCTGGGGTGGGGGTGTGGGTGTCAGGGTCTTTATTCCCATCCCGTTCCCCGACTGTCATTTGGGGAGGGGGTCCTGAAGAAGGGCGGACCGCCGGGTGCGGTCCTGGGCTGTGGGTGGGCT